CTTTTAACTATAAACACCTATTATATGAGATAATTAATATTGTTGTTTTTATAACCATCACACAATCACTACCTAAAGCTATGTTACCTCCACTGTCATCATTACCGTTATCAATGTCATCATTATTGTCATTGTGCTATAACTGTAATGGTATAAAAGTAGTGATGATGACAAAAGTAGTGACAATTGTCAATGACGGTAATGATGGCAACGATAACACTACCATCACCACCATCTATATCACTACTATTATTATCATTATTGTCGACATTACCATTAGCATGTGGCACCACATGGTAGTGATGACCTATGTTGCACAGACACACAAAATGAGATTGTCGTGTCTATAAGTTTGACACTTTTTTGGGACGAACACAACAAGGATGTTTCAGCAGACCATGTCCACACAAATTAGGATATGTCTCAATCGCGAATATGTGCAAATCAACGCGTCTCTATCTCGATATGCGTGACTCAATTGTCTTATAGTATTGTTTTATATTTTTCAATTATCTTATTAGATATCAAACTCCGAAGTGCTGGTTACCAATTTAACAAAAAAGAAATCAGAGACGAAAAAAAGCTTAAAGGCTATCGTGTTGCATAGACCTGACATTTGAATACCTTCTGATTAAAAAGTTATGGTGCAGTTACACAAGCAACAAAGATGACTTAATCCATAGAATATGGACCACATGCATTTTTTTAGCAGATTTCCAATATAAAACCCAATCCAAACAAAACATTAAAAAAAATACAATGGAATTTATTGAATAAAAGTTAAAGCCATTACCTACACTGGAGTCTAACAATAAAACTAGCTGAATCAGAAAAGTGAATGGAAAAGTAATAAGAACTTCTCAAACAACACCTAAAGTTTTTGCTCTTAGAAAGCAATAACTTAGTCTCTACCAATTATCTCACAATAAGAGCTCTTTAGGTCAAATAGGAACAATCGTGCACCCTTGCTCCTCCAATGAAGTTATCGACATCTCTCACGATCATCCAAGTTAGTAACTTCAAGAACTTGAAGGTTAGGACACTTCGCAGGAAGTTCCTTTATCAAAGAGTCATCCTTTTTAAGAAAAAGTCGTAGCTCAACTAAATTCTTAAACAACGGAAGATCAAGAGGAAAAGGGTTAATGTCATTCCTACAATATTTCAAAGAGAGAAACTTAACACTACATACTCCTTGGAGAATCTCAGAAACAGTCTCCTTTATATCATGATACATTGTTATATAAACCTTGGTTTTCTTGATTTTTCGCCAACCACGAATCTTCATAGAGTTTGAGATAAAAGCATAATCATATTGCATGACATTGTCATATAAATGGTTGCGATCAATGAATCGAATATATCGAGAGTTATGCACAATGGTGAACTCTTTGAGATAAGACCTCAGGTAAAACTGTTCGAGTTTCAAGGTGGCAATTGTGGTGCAATGAAACAAGGGATCCCAGTTGAGGAACCTATCATCGGACGTGCATAAGGAGATATGCACTTGTTCAACTTTTCTTGCTACCACTTTAGAGATCCATTCTTCCACATAATTTGAGCAACAATCATGATCGCTATTGCATTTGAGTTGAAAGCTTGTGATCTTTTCTGTTCTAAGTAGAGCTAATTAAAAACACGTTGACACTCTTGTAGTGTTTCATGATTGGTTTGGCGCACCCAATGTGAAGAGATGGAAGCATGGTCCACACAAATCTCCACCTTGTACACAACAATGATGTTGCTATGGCTTCCTTGAGCGTAAGGAAAGAAAGGATGAGACACAGAACATCATCTGGTAATGCACTAATTTTATCCTCTTCCGATTTTCTCTCGATCATCATTGTTACTACCTTGATCAAATGTAGGATTTGTGTGCAATTAATATTTTTCCATACCCCGGATGAAGAGTCAATATGGAAGATAATGAGCATAGGAAGAGATTTATCTCCTCTAATGTGAAGGAATTTAAGATAAACTATCCTATTAATTTTGATTAAAAATTTACGATTGATAATCTGATAAAATCAAATATATATAATAATGACCTAATTACATTGGTCAAACAATTACAATGGAAAGGAAAAATTACAAGAATGAAAATGAGCCCAATATTGGGTACCAAAAGCCCAAAGGCCCATGAAGCCCAAAACTAGGCCCAACAAGCCTAAAACCTAAAATGCTACTCTATGTGGTCCAAAATACAAGACCAAAATATATGATACCTATACTAACATGATGTATACAAAACATATGAAAATAGCTATAAAAAACTATGGCCCATGAAAAGTTCAACTTGGGCCTTCCCAGACCCATCAGGCCCATTGGGCCCTGACTGGCCCAAACCTTCATGTCTAGCCAACTCCTCTTGGATCTTTGAGTGTGTCACCTCTTGCATTCCCAAGTATGATTCCATCATTACTCCTTTTGACATTTATTATAAGACACTTATATTTAATTATATACATCAATATAAGTAATTATATTAATTAATTTTATTATATTTATAATATAAAATTATGATGTATAAATTTTATTTATCTTATTTATTATTAAATTTTTATGTGAAAGAGAAAGATAATACTCTTTTATCAAAACTTATGCATCTATACCAATAAAATTAATAAAAAATAATTAAAGTGTTTAAGACGAAAAAGAAACTACTCTTTTATTTTAAATTATCTTTTCATTATTTAATTACAAAAATATATATTATCACAATCACAATTTTTAATAGGGAAAAGATGAAAAATAAAATTAAAATTTTATAAAAAATTATAAAATATCTTATGAAAAAAATTATAATTTTTTTCTAAATTTTTTCTTATAATAAAAATAAAAAAAAGGTATTAATAATAATACATTTATCAGTTTCACAAATTAACTACGGGAGTAAATCTCAACCTTTTAATAACTTGCTAATCGATGGGTATTATGAAAGACAATGATGATTGTTGATTCCTTAATGCTTAACAAATAGTTTTTTATTTTAAATTTCATATATTAAATAATGTGTAAGTATAAGAAAAGTTAAGTCGGGTAAATAAACTACCTGTTCCTACCCCATTCTTATAAAAAAATCTCAAAAAAATAAAACAATGCATTTAGTGAATTTTTTACTGGAATAATATTTTTTTTTTTAAATTACAAGAATGATCACTGTGCAGGATTATTTACCAAGATAGAACCATTTACTGTTCAAGCTCAGAATTCGGTTCCCGGGGAACCGAATTCTGAGCATCAAAATGTAATTTTTTTTGTTTTTTCAACTCAGAATTTGGTTCCCGGGGAACCGAATTCTGAGTTGGTTTTAAATTTTTTTTTTTTTTCGTGTATGGGGCAAATGTGGGCTGATCTGGGAAGCGGAACGGCCCGTTCCAAAAGCAGAACGGGCCGTTCTGCTTAAAAAAACAGAGTGCAAATTCTGAATGTGAAACGGCCCGTTCCAAAAGCAGAACGGCCCGTTCTGCTTAAAGAATTTGCACTCTGTTTCTTTAAGCAGAACGGCCCGTTCTGCTTTTGGAACGGGCCGTTCCGCTTCCCAGATCAGCCCACATTTGCCCCATACACGAAAAAAAAAAAAAAATTAAAACCAACTCAGAATTCGGTTCCCTCAGAATTCGGTTCCCCGGGAACCGAATTCTGAGTTGAAAAAACAAAAAAAAATTACATTTTGATGCTCAGAATTCGGTTCCCGGGGAACCGAATTCTGAGCTTGAACAGTAAATGGTTCTATCTTGGTAAATAATCCTGCACAGTGATCATTCTTGTAATTTTTTTTAAAAAAAATATTATTTCAGAAAAAAATTCTGCATTTAGTATTCATGTTCATAAATTCCAACTTTATTATCCTGGATATCATCTTTTATGAAAAAATATTCGTAATCATTTATTAGACAATTTTTCTTCCTATTATGCATATATTTTTGTATGTATATATGAAGTCTGAATCTATTCATCTTCCCAATTAGTGATATAAAAATTAGTTCGAGCAAGTCTGATCGATGCTAAAACCAAAACGATTTTGCTTATCAGACCGATTACGTAGTTGAACCGGATCAAACTGAATGAAACTGGTCGGTTTTTTACAAAAAAATGTTGATGAACCGGTTTGATTTTCAATTTTGTTTTTCGCAGAAAAAAAAATCATTTTTTTTTCAAAATAATCTGAAAAGTAAATTTCCAAAAAATAAGTTAAAAAGTGTTTGGACTTTATAAAAGTTATATTTTGAAGCACTAATAACTTGGACATAAATTTAAATATTGATGCTATTTATATTTTAATTTTTAAACTTATTTATAAGTCATTGAATTTAAATTAATTTATTATTATGAATTTTAATTTAATTGTTATTTTAGATATCGAGTACTTTATAATGATAATAGTTTTAAATTTGAAGTATGAAATTACATTATTATGACTTTTGATATTAAATTTAAAGTTTGAACATATGATATTTATCATTTAATGTGTCAATAATTTTATTTTTAATGTATAAAATATTTTAAATTATGTTAATTATATATTTTTATTTTTAATATATATATACCGACTTAATTAATAATCTATCAGATTTAACTATTAAACTATCAAATCACTACATTAATCGATTCGATATTTATGGTATTTCCGATTATGGAATTCCACTAAAAGAAGGATCTTCGTAACTAGACCTAAAGGAATTAATAATTGAAAGTATTTATTAAAAATCATATTAAGTAATCATATATTTAAAATCACGATGAGAAGCATTAATAATTTTTTTAATAAAAATTTTCGGTTTTCATTTCTTAACTAGTGGTCTTCAAACCGTCACACTTGCAATTGCAGCGGTCCAAGCAACCACTTGCACTAAGCACGTGGGCCATTTTGCTTCCCACGAATATAAATAGGATTAAGATCAATTTATCACCAACTGACCCACCTTATTTATTACCAAACCACATGAAGCATGTATATTCAACCAAGTCCCAATAGGATCAACAAAAATAAGTGAAGCATATATTTAACCTCAAATGGAATATTATACCATAGAAATACCAATCAATCAAGTTTCCAATCAATATAATACAAGTTTTCCTATTTGTGTGTCCCAAGAAGAAAAAGAAATGCACATTAAGGAAAGCAGAGGGAAGTATGCTCCCCCATTCCTATACACAAGCCAAAACTCTCATGTACAATTTCCACAAATATGAATTTCTCCATGTCACTCACTACCACCCTAGTCCAACATCAACCACATTCCTAGGTGCCAAAGTTGCCTATCATTATATAGAATCGTTTTTTCTTTCCCTTGGCTATGCTTTGTTTCTTCTAACTTTCATTCTTTGATGCAACTTTAGCCTTCTCACTCTCTCACTGAGGTGCTCCTTTGGGAAGTAGTGGAAAATGAGCGAAGGTTTGAAGCTGCTAGCTCTCTGAAATCCTTGCGGATGGCCCAAAGGATCTCGGCACATCTCTTCATAGAAGGTCTGCTTTGTCTACGTGGAGCCAAACACTGTAAGGCTAGCTCAAGAATCTTTTGCAGTGCCAAAGAATTTGCAGCAGTTTGATCTAGTCTTGGGTCCAACACCGAGATAGCATCTCCATCAATGAACCTCTTCATAGCCTGCACTTGTAGCGAATATGTTACATTGAAGAATTTGGATGTGTCTGAGTTAAGAGTTCTATTTAAGCGCTTATTCAAATAGCTTATCACATTAGAGCGCCTATGAAACTTTCTGAAGTTAAAAAGAACTTATTTTCATAAGCAGAAAACTGTGAAACTTGGTATTAAAAGAATTAATAATACATGGCACTGATAATGGAAAGGTCTTTTATATTTTATTCAATCACAAATTATCAATATATGATAACTTTGTTGACTTTTATGATAATTATCTTAAAAGTTACACTAATGATGATTTCTGATTGATTTAGTGTGTAAAAACTTTTATATTAACAATACATGTTATTAAACTCTTACTAAATTAAGGTAAAAAGAGCTTATAGAAATGTCATCATTTTAGTGAGCTAGCATTATTACGCTCTTTCAAATGCCCCCTCCATCCTTCTTGCCAATTAAAGCTTTGAACAACAGGTATTGAGATTATGTAATTATGAAGAGGAGGTGCTTAACAACTGACTACTGAGCAAAAAGAGGTATCATAGAAGACATTGCTTTTCAAGAAATTATGGAAAACTACTAAATAGCAAACAAGAAGAATAAATTGAAGGCAAATAGTACACATTACACACCCATTTTGCTGTGATTCGCTCCTTGAGTTCAAATTTTGGTTCGATGGGGCGTCTACCTGTGACAAGTTCAACAAGCAAAACTCCAAATGAATACACGTCACTCTTTTCAGTTAGTTGATAAGTTTTCAGGTATTCAGGGTCCAAGTAACCAGCTGTTCCTTTGACTTGAGTGGAAACATGTGTCATGCCAGAGTCACTGTCAGGGGCTTGTCTAGCAAAACCAAAGTCTGCTACCTTAGCTCGAAGATGTTCGGTCAGAAGAATGTTTGAAGATTTTATGTCTCTATGAATGATAGGATGATCTACAAAGAAAATACAATATATACAGTAAATGTCAGATTCTTTTTCAGCCTTCTAACGAATAAACCATCAATTTTGTCCCAGAAGTATTACCCTCTCTCGTAAGTAGTCCCTAAACTAATAAAACTGTATAAGTAATCTCCTAAGTGTTGAAAATCTATTAGTTTAGGTACTAAATTGACATAATTTTATTAATGTTAAGGACCAATTTGGAGGGTTTTCTAATACTCGAAAGACGAAATTGATGGTTTACTACAAATATGCACTTTGCCGTGATTGAGTTGCTTGATGACCAGAGAGTTGCACCTATATACATATGAAGATAGGTGATAGCATGAGAAACATCAATTGCTATATCTAGACGAGAAGCAAGGTCCAGAACGGTTCCATGAATGCCTGTAATAATGATTTGATCAAAGCAGGCACAAAAAGACAATGTTGGAGGCAAGGGCAAATCACAAACACAATAGTTAAAAGGGTAGAGAAACTCACCATCCAAATGCTCTCTAAGGGTTCCATTTGGAACATACTCCACAACAACAATCCTTTCATCCCCTTGCTCCAAATAGCCAAAGAACTTGACCAAGTTCAAATGTTCCACCCGTGATAGTGTTTGGATCTCACTCTGGAACTCCACTCCCAAATGTTTCTCATACACACTCTACAAAGCATAAGGTAATAATCAACTTTGAACAATTAACTTTGTGCACGTTTGTTATCACTAACATTCTCATTGAATAAATAGTTGTTGTGGTCCCTGAAAGTAGTGGATGCTATTACATTAGCCCCTAAAACTAAAAATGTCAAATAAGTCCCTAGAATGTCAAATTAGTCCCAAAACTTCACTAATTATTGTTATTTTTTCTCTGAATATATATCAATATTATCATTTTAGGCACACATTTTTTTTTTAAATTTTGGATCAATTTGATTGTTAATTTACACTTCCAGGACTTATTTGACACTTTCCTACTTATAGAGACTAATATTAGATTGTTTTCCAAATTAAGGGGCCAAAATAATCATTTACTTCATTCTCATTCCATGTAAATGGTGACACAATTGAGCACACGATTAGGCTAGAAACAACTTAAAGTTAAACGACCTTCTTAGCACGCTTTACTGCAACAACAGTCCCATCGAGGAGTTTGGCCTTGTAGACAGCTCCAAAACCACCTTGGCCAATCTTGAAAGAAGGGGAGAAGTTTCTTGTGACTTGGAAGATTTCCTCCATGGTGAACTTCACAATGCCAGGCTCTTTCTCCGGGACTAAGTTGAGTGAACTGATGCTGGTACCTCGATTTGAGCCACGCCCTCTCTGACTACTAGTTCTTGAAGAATTCGATACAGCTAAGAACACAAACACAAAGCTCAATTTTAAATTCTAATTCATCCACTCCATTGATAAGCATGAACATAAATGTGCCTATATATAGCAGCACTTCAAGTTCAATAATGCTGAAAACCTAAAGAAAAACTATGCAAACTAGTGACCTGAATGCAATGCATTGATGAGGAGTTAAGTAACTTTAAATCAAACATTTAGCCGCAGAACTTCAAAATCGATAGTGTTTCTGTCCTGGTACATGTATAGATGTTAATTTTTTAATTTCGGTGACAACACGTGCTAAAATTTTGTAATTAAACCATTCAAATCATGACCTAAATGCAAATATGTATTACATTAATTAAAAACTAAGCTATTAGAGAATGTGCAATCTTAGTTCAAAAGTTAACCAGCTCACACAAACAAAAATGGAGATTTGCTGAATTATCCATACCCAAAACAGAAAGACATGATTTTGAGAACTGGGATTTGACCAAATTCTGGACCCATGATTAAAATTCAAAATCAAAAGCCCGATCAATATTTTAATGACGCAGACAAAAATCCCAAACTCCAATTCAAATTTTCGCGACAGTTCTACCCTTTTTCTCTGCAGCTTAAAAACAGAAACTTCTTCACACATGGGTTCAAACTCCGAGATCCAAAACAACATAGAATAGAAAATCCCCCACCACACACACACACGTCCACCAAAAGAATAACCATTTCTCACAAAGATACACTTTTTTTTTTTTTGTGGGTGTGTTTTTAGTACTATTATCTAATTAAAATTGAAGTCTTACCAGAACAATTGAAGCAATAAGGATTTGCATTAAAGTTTCACACAAATTACAAAATAAAACTTGGTGAAACTGTATCTAAGTTTTTTGGATAAAAAAAGATGGAGAGAAAAGTCAAAGTAGTACTGGATGAAGACTTGAACTCCTCGGAATCCCCGAGGGTCTTGGAGGTGTCGGTCTCCGGCGGGGCGAAGCAGGCGGAGAATATCCCGGCGAAGGACCTGGCGGCAGTAGTGACGGGGTTGCGGCGGGTCTCGGCGGAGGAGGTGCTGAACTCGGAGGAGGCGTAGCTGGGAGAGAGGGGTGGTCTGGTGGGCGTGGTCCGGTGGTGGGAGTCGGATCGGCGGCGGGGAGGATAGGGAGACGTCGTCATTTGTGCGTTTTAGAGAGAGAAATAGAAAATTGGCGCGTTGGTTGAAGAGAGAGTGAGTCAACCCAAGTGAAGTAGCAAGTGCAACGACTTTGCAAATTTGCTTGTAAAAGGGTGGGTGACGCTATTATGCGCGGACAAGTGGAAGCCAAGTTATGTTAAGGTTGGATGCCAATTTGCACATTGCTATGTCTTCGATTTTGTGTAACGAGTGGTTGTCGTTTCTATCGGTTTGACGTAGGAACCACCGATTCAAATTATAATTTATGTTCAATATACTTTTATTTATAAGTATTTGAAACTTTAATATTTAAATTAATATGTCAAAAATAATATAAATACAAATATTATTATATATTAGTAAGGTCAAAATATTTTGTGCCTCTATTAAAAATAAAATAAAAATAAAAATTAAATAATAAAAATATATTGATCTAATTGGTTTTATGATTAATTCATTAGTTTTAAGTTCTTAAATTTGATAAAAATAATATTTTTTTTATTTTTTAAAATAGAAGGATATAATAGTTAAAAAATGTGAAGACCAAGTTGGTTATTAAAAATGGTATTCCTTTTATATATTAGTATAGATTATTCTTCATTCCATAATGACTACAATTTTAGTATTCAAAAAATGTCTCGAGAAGATTTATGTTTTTATTTTTCAATGTAATGTTAATTAACCTTTTTCTAATTTATATTTTTCATAAATTATTTAATCACAACAATTGAAAGTAATATAATATTTATATAGTGAATTATTTTAATAAAATTATATATATAAAAAAAATTGATCTATTTTAATAATCTTCAATCTACATTTAAAAACTTAAAATTTTAATCATCAAAAAGTATAATATTGTACTATGTTAAATTAAATGATATATAATATAATTTAATATATATTATATATATAATTTTATACCAACTCTAGTCATATTCAATTATATACAAACATAGTCTACTACGATTAGTGTACTTGTCTAAGGACACACCAGTAATCTTTTCGTAATCTGAAGATCGAACGACAGTTCCGAACAAATATTCCGACAAGGAGGAGTTATCTACAAAAGGCACTCCGACGTTCAAGTGAGGACAAACGCGAATATCGATAATAATAAATGAACAATAACTTTACCTAAAGATGTGAACTATTTATATTGATATTAATGTGGTTGGATTGCATTTGACATCCTAGGTGGCCGAATTGCGTTCGAATCTCTTGGTGGCCGAAAACCGTCAAAATAAAGGACATTAGACCTTATGGTCTAATCTCTCGACACAAAACATATTTCGGCCACCTATGGTGCTAAGTATGTCTCGGTCCTTTATTTTGAAAATTTTCGACTATCGAGAGTATCGAACGCAATTTGGTCACCTAGGGTGACGAACGCAATCTAACCATTTACTTATTATTATCGATATTCGTGTTTATCCTGACTTGAGCGTTGGAATGTCTTTTGTAAGTATCTCTCTCCTGTCGAAATATTTGTTCGAAGTCCTCATTCGGTCTTTAGATTATTGAGTATTTAGATAGGTACAATTAATATATATAAATATAACTTTTTAAATAATAAATTCTTCACGAATCCTATGATTTTAGTATGGATTTTTGTATTATCATGAGCATGAATCTTACCAAAAATGTAGGCAATTCACTTATTTCGATCAGAAATGTACAATTACATTCCTCTTTGGAATACGAAGGGAAGGATAGTTAGTTGGGAAAGTGGAAGAAGGATTTTAAGTGTGTTGCAAGTTGCACTTGCACCCAGTGTTTAAAAAACCGGACCGAACCGGCCGGTCGGACCGG